GAGGAGGAGGGGGCGGTGGCGGGAGCTGAGGTGGAAGCAGAAGGGTGGGGAGGGGAGGGGGAAGGCATGGGTGGAAGCCGTTGCATTTGATGTCGCCGTTGGTGAGCGGCGCTGAAGGGTCCGACGACTTCAGTGTTTCGACTTTGTCCAAAGGTTTTATTTTGCATCGTTTTTTCTGTGAGAAGATAAAAGGGAGGGCACACGTAAGACTTACATTTTTCTTAATCTTAAGATTTTTTTTTTTTTAGAATTGTTTTTGACAGAAAATGTTGCATCTTTGAGGGGAACCCCCCCCCCATACATTTGAGTGAAAAAAACATGTAACACAAGTCCACTAGCTTAATGCTAACATTCAATGCAAAATGCCATGTATGGGCTAATGAAACTAGCATCGATGTTGCCAGTTATAACCCTATGTGCAATGTATATCTTTACAGAAATATTGAAGCAAAATACCCATCGATATAATAAGAAAGATGTGCACTTGAGAAAAACAAGCTCAACTTTTTTTTTGGAGGGGGGGAAGCTTATGTTTAAATGCTTAAAAAAACCTTTCAGAATTGTACACACATTTAACAATAATTGTGTGTTTCCAGGAAAAAAAGGCAGTTTCAAATACATAGTTTAATTAAAAGGAAAAAAAGTCAAAGATTTGAAGAGAAAAGTAACATTTGAAAAAAAAAGCTCTACAGTTCAGAAAATTAATATATTTTTAAGAATAAGGGCAGATCTTTTTTTTTTAAAAAAATAGATTTTAAAGACAAGCTGTATATCCTCTATATATTTTTTTATTTTTAATTTCAGCACTCTTTTGTATATGACATTGTTGCCCCTTATTCTCATACGAAACCATGAGAGCATAATAAAAATCATTTTCATTCATCATGGTCAAACAAACAAACAAAAAAGAAAAGCAGGAGAGACAATTTACCTTTTTCTCTGGTGAAAATCTTAGAGGCTCTACAATGTACAAGTCTTCTGGACCAACTGAAAAAGAAGAGGAAGGTGAATGACGGGGGCAGGGGAGAAAAAAACAAAACAAAAAAAAAACTACAATACAATACATGTAACAAGCATGCGTCACTTGAACTTTTCTATTAGAGCGCAGCTGGCAAATGTCTACCATGAGCCAGCAAAGCTTCACACTCTATTCTTATGCTCCTTAAGCCTGCGTGTGCACACAAGCTGCCACTGACAGGTTTCAGCCCGAAGGGCAAACACGTACGGGCAGTAGAATAAACAGCAAGGGGGTCGGGTGGGGGGTGGGGGTGTCACATGAATCCCATTTGATGTTAGTTTACCTTCCGTGGAGGACAAGTGGAAGGACTTGGAGCGCACGAGCGGACATATCACCCTGCGCTTGAGGCTCATGTCGTCATAGGAAGAGAAGCATCTCTTGGGGCTGGGATAGTGCTTGCTCTTGGGCGGCGCAACGTCAACCGGGGTGGGGGCGGCGGTGGCGGCCGGCCTGGAGGCGGCGCAGGAGCTGCGGCAGCACTGCAGGCACACGAGCAGGCCCAGGGACACGCACAGGGCCAGAGAGACGACCAGGTAGCTCTGACGGTCGGATACCTGCGCAGGGGGGATTGGCGTAATGAAGAAGGGGTTTGCTGCCACATCGAGACAGGCATGTTCAAGAAGAAGAAAAAAAAGCTGTGTGATGAGAAATTTTGAGAAAATGTGTTATTTTTTTTCTATGTAAAAATAAGTCTGCAATTTGAGGGAAAAAAATACAAGTTGATTAAAAACATTTTAAGAGGGGGGGAAAATGAATTTTTTTTTTCATAAGACCGTTTTTAGAGGGGGAAACTATTTTTTAGAAGACATTCTGTATTTGAAGAAAAAATATGTATTTTTGGGTGGGAAACAAAGTTTCAAGGAAAAGTTGTCTTTATTACATGATTTGTATTTTTGATAAAGAAATGTCACATTTAAGAAAAAAGTATTTTCTGAGAAAAAAAAGCTCGAAATTAAAAGAAAAAAGTAGCTTTTTTTTGTGGAAAAAGATTGTTTGTGTGGGGGGAAAAAGTTGTAGATTTTCCATTAAAAGGGTTTGCTTTTTGAGGGGGAAACAACTATTATGTATATTATACAGTGAAAAACAGAAAAAAATTTGTTTTACAATACACCCTATGAGAGTGTGGAAACTAAAATAATTTGTGATATTTGGGGCATTTGACGAAGGCACAGACATTTAAGTGACTTGGAAACCATTTGAAAATGTGAGAGAGAAAAAAAAAAGTCTCCTTTAATGTATGCAGGTATAAGTCTCACATTAAACCAGTAGCAAGAACCACATGTTGTTATTACTTAACTACGTGTGTGGTTGTAAAGGACAACATATCTAGAAATCAAACAAACAGCCTGAATTTCTACCTCTTTCTGAAGTTGCCCGACTGCGACGGTAAGATTAAGCATCAGTTTGGTGATGTTCTCCAGCTGGCTTTGCAGAACCTGGATGGAGTCCTGCTGCTTCTGGTCCTGAGGATTGGAGCAAAGCGCAGTCAGATGATTTTTTTTTTTTTTAACACCAACCGCATTTCCAACGCCAGTCCGTTCGCGC